CATTGATAGTAAGCTTCCGAAGGGAAGCATATTAGAGATTAAAAGATGAGAACCAAATTCGATAGTGAGCCATCAATTTTTTATTCTCAACTCGCATTTGTAAAATCATCATTTTCTCTTACTTTTCTTATCAATCAAAGTATGTTGTTCTATTCTGATTCAATTATTTCCTTTGATTTGTTTCCTTTGGCAAGAAATATGAATTCCACTCAAACCAGATCTCCACATTGTCACTGGGAAAGAATGGTCCGATGCAATTCATGCTATCGTTCAATTTTTTAAATAATGTCAGTATATTACCTCACCCTCGCTCAATGCAGTGATCCATACTGTACAGGATGTTCAGAAGAAAATATTTAACCTTTTAATAAAATGGATTTATGCAAAAAAATTAATATCTCCTAAACCACTGTGCCGATGGCACTGATTTAAAGTACGGACCTTTGGTATTATAAGAGAGATATACATGTCAAATTTCAACTTCATATCGTTTTTTTTCACAAGTTATCAACCGCACAAGAATGAGACAACAAAAAAAAAGAAAAACGAGAATATCTCCAAAAGGTTGTATGGACGGGTATATATATTTTCAATGATCTGGATAGTAGCGATCGAGACGGATATTTTGAAAAAAGAACATTTTTAATTGGTCAAGTAGTTGACGAGATATTTGACAGAATAGATTTTCACAAAAAATTGAATATCTCGTGAACCGCTCGACCGATTGACCTCATCGAAAATACGAACTGTCTATGTTACAAAAGCTAACAGCATACCGAATTTCAAGTCGATAGCTCGTTTTTTCATTGACTTATCGCGCGTACAGTGTTTTTTATGAAAAAACGGATAAACGGCAATATATGGTATATATGATATGAGTGATCTAGATAGAGACCATCGAGATGAGTAGTTCGAAAAAAAAAATTGAAATCCGTGCAGTTGTTGGCGAGATATTGCGGAAAAACGAAATTTAAACAAGTGATTATATCTCAGGAACTACTTCACCGATCGAGCTGAAACGAAGCACCAAAGTGAGGCTCATTCATAGCTATCATGAGCCGAAATTTCAAATTTTTAGCTGCAAATTTCACCGTATTTACGTTGAATTTTGTAAAATTGAATCACGAAAAACCCGAATCTGCACACACATACATACAGACACCCCCCTAAAAACATCATTTCTTTACGTTTCATGACGTTGTGGACCATTTGCAACCAAAATTAGAGAATCGAAAAATCGACCAAAAACAATGCTTCCCTTCGGAAGCGAAAAGGACTAAAGTTGAAGCTAAACATCTGAAATTCAGTCACATAATTGGTATTACTTTGGAGCATTTCTGGGCGCAGTGTCAGCTCAATCGGCCCAGTAATTTCTCAAAAATCTTTGTTTCTCAATATCTCAAAAACGACATGATCGAATTGAATTTTTTTGACGCCAAAATCTTCTTCATGTTATATCTATTGGATCAAATCATCATATTGCTATGTAACTATCGACAGTTTGGTAATAATTGGCATTTTTCATTTTTATGAAAAAATCGTTGTGAACACGATAGCGCCCCGAAAAATTAAGATAGAAAGTTGAAATTTGATACGATTGTAGTTTTTATGATATTACAGAATGGGATTGTGGATGAGCCGAATCGGATGAGTAGTTGAGGAGTTATTCAACTTTTTGTGAAAAACAGTAATGCTCAATATCTCCGAAACTACTGGTCCGATTGACTTTTTTTTTTCAAAATGTTTGTCATGGTATTGTCTATCAAGAAGATATCAGCGTTTTTCTAGTTTTTTAAATTAAAATTCAATGTGGGCTCCATGATACGCGTTAAACATGGACTAAACATCTGAGATTCTGGCTGCTAGTTTGCATGATTGGCCCACATTCGTGTATAAAATTTTGTATCAATCGATTCAGTACATCCTGGCATAGAGTAATGTTTTTGCAAAAAACTGCGCCAAGAAAAGTTTTGTTTGTTTCTTGCTGGCAAGTAACATTTTTTTAAAAATATAAAGAAATGAAAAAGGAAGCCAAGTCAGCAATGTCAGAGGAATGGTCATAGTGCAAATTAAATTTCAATGAGAAAAATGGTTTTAAATCAAATGAGGGTTTGCAAGAAATTCTCTATGAAATCAAAAATAGAAGGAGGACCAATTTTCTTGGCGCGGAGTTTTTCCACTGACTTTCTGATATCTATCGAATCCTCGATCTTCCAATCCGCGCCGAGAAAATTGTTCCTCCTTTTATTTTTTATTTTATAGAGAATTTCTTTCAAACCCTCATTTGATTTAAAACCATTTTTCGCATAGAAATTTTATTTGCACTATGACCATACATCTGACATTGCTGACTTGGCTTCCTTTTTCATTTTTTTATATTAAACAAAAAAATTTACTTGCCAACAAGAAACAAACAAAACTTTTCTTGGCGCAGTTTTTTGCAAAAATATTTGTTTTTACTTTCTTAGGCAGATATCATTATTTTTTTCAAAATAACTAAGGAATCGTTTTAAATCCTGTAAAATTTTTACTTTTCAAGTCAATTCAAATAATTTATTTTCACAAAATAGAAGATAGAGGACATCGAGACGAAAATTTTGAAAAAAAAATTATGAAATCG